TAAAAATACTACTATTAAGTTCCAGCAGTAGAGAAAATATTTAACAAGATGAAAACTTGTACATCCATTATTTATCTGGGAAGCAGAAATGTTCCTGGTAAATAAAGGTATCACATCATCTAACTTTCAAATTCCGACCAATCATTGTGACGTTTTATGCAGGTCTTACAGCCTTTGCATGGCAAATTCTCAAGTATAGAATTTGCATCATAACAGTCACATTCCTTTGTATTACACGGAATTCTGGATAAATTGTCACAGTTCACATGTTTGGTCCCCTTAAGATGTTCAATTTTAAAATTGAATTGTGCCATCATCTCCATCCATCTTGCCATTTGATCAGTAGGAGATTTGAATGACATTATCCATCTTAATGAGGAATGATCAGTCCTCACTAAGAACTCACGTCCCAGTAAATAATGTCTAAACTTGTGTAGAAAATTCACCATTCCTAAAAAGTCCACTTGCTTTGGAAAGAACTCTGATTTCGTCATAATTTCTTTCTTGAACTGACTCTCGGAGATTTCTCTCCCTTGTTTCTTCACTTATTATATGCCCGAAAGAATTTCGGACATATTATGTTATACCCCCTGGCGTCCCTCCGTCCGTTAGCAATTTGGTTTCCGGAGCATAACTGAAGTTCCATTTGGCCCACAATATTCAAACTTCATAGGATGATTGTCCATATTGGGTAGAAGACCCCTATTGATTTTGGGGTCATAAGGTCAAAGGTCAAGGTCACTATGACCTTAAAACTGAAAACGTTAGCAATTTGGTTTCCGGAGCATAACTTAAGTTCCATTTGGCCCACAATATTCAAACTTCATAGGATGATTGTCCATATTGGGTAGAAGACCCCTATTGATTTTGGGGTCATAAGGTCAAAGGTCACTATGACCTTAAAACTGAAAACAGTTTTGGAGCATAACTTAAGTTCCATTTGGCCCACAGTGTTCAAACTTCATAGGATGATTGTCCATATTTGGTAGAAGACCCCTATTGATTTTGGGGTCACAAGGTCAAAGGTCAAGGTCACTATGACCTTAAAACTGAAAACAGTTTCCGGAGCATATCTTAAAGTTCCATTTGTCCTACAGTGTTCCAACTTCATAGGATGTTTGTCCATATTTGGTAGAAGACCCCTTTAGATTTTAGGGTCATAGGTCAAAGGTCAAGGTCACTATGACCTTAAAACTGAAAACAGTTTCCGGAGCATAACTTAAGTTCCATTTGGCCCACAGTGTTCAAACTTCATAGGATGATTGTCCATATTGGGTAGAAGACCCCTATTGATTTTGGTGTCACAAGGTCAAAGGTCAAGGTCACTATTACTTAGAAATTGAAAACAGTTTCTTGAGCATAACTTTAGTTCCATTTAGCCCACAATATTCAAAAACTTCATAGTATGATTGTCCATATTGGATAAAAGACCCCTAATGATTTTGGGGTCACAAGGTCAAAGGTCAAGGTCACTTTTACCTTAGAATTGAAAACAGTTTCTGGGACATAACTTAAAGTTCCATTTGAACCACAATATTGAAACTTCAAAGGAGGATTGTTATTTGAAGGAGGTAATACTTTATTTTAGTCCCATGTCTTACAAATGCTTCATCTTTACTAAAAAAAAAACCACTTTCGGGCATATAATGCTCCGCCTAGCGGTGCTCTTGTTTTTAGTTGTCTTCTTAATTCTAAAATTTGACGATGAAGATCTTCTGCAATATTACCTTCTGTAGGGTCAGAATTCCCCTCTTGATTATCACTCATTGATCGTTTAGGGGGCATTTTTGAATTTTAATGTTGTTAAATCCAATATGAAAAACACCTAAATCCAATTCTAGAAGTGTCACATAAATCACATAGACTAAACTAGATAATAGAGTTTTTTTTTTCTTTCTCAGACTCACAATACTGTCTTTGTTACTATCAAACTTTCAGAAATCCCAACACTATTGTGCCACATTTTCACTATTTTGAGAATGGCGAGCCACATTTGCTAAATCCCCTCTCAGTTGCTCAATTTCTCTCCTGAAGTCAGAAATTTCACAATCTTTTTCATGAGTTGTGAATGAAGGGTAGTCATGAAGTTCTCAAATTCTTGCTGAAAATGCTCCATATAATTCCGTAATTCAACACTAATTTGCACTAATGTAATCTCCAAATCTTTCAGAACATCCATTTTTATTTATTTATTTTACTCTATTTATTTATTTTTAATCTCAAAACACAATTAAACACAAAAAGAAAACTTATAATACTCCATCATCACTTCTCATGAAATTAATTCCTTCCTCACATATAGAAACACTCAACAAATTTTCCCTTTTTCATAAAACCTATAATTAATAACGTCAAATTAATTCAAAACACCTTTTATCCTAATAATACACCAGCACATTTAATTTTTGTTTTATTATTAATCCCAATAAGGCAAAGGGACAGTTTGGATGAACTAGATCTGTAGACTTTCCAACAGGTTTCATGAACACATGAACAATATATTATTCAAACATGATTTCTGATTTTAGAGGCTTGGTTAATTTCCTTGGGTACTGTTTTCTTGGAGGTGGACTGTTTCTGTATACTTCTGCAAATGAATTAACCTTCCTTTTTGGATCACTCATTTTTGAATTATTATTTCTTTTCACTTATGAAAATCCAATTTATTTTTCACCAGAATTATAATTTGTCAAAAAAAACACTGTACATTTTTATTCCACCACTTCTTTGGAAGCATGTTAAAGTCCACAAAATCCCAACGCTTGCCACCAGTGTAACCGTTTTAAGTTGGGCCTCTTATTAGACCTTTATAAAACTGGTCATATAGAATTTGCTGCCACCAGCTCAACATTTGAGCAGTTACTATTTACACTATCTGTAGCATAACACAATAAATAAATCATTTTTCTTCTAAGCTACTTTTTATTTCAGATTATATACAAGATAAATCCAATATACACAAATATATACATTATTTACATGTTGGAGGAAACAGTCCAAACTTTCATACCCTTAAATTCCCATTTCTCTAAGTTTAAAAGTTATCTTTCTGAAAACTTCCCATATCCGATTCCCAAAATTAAGAAGACCCCTAAAATGGATTCCCCAGCCCTTTTATAGTGCTAGGAAAAAGTTACATCACTGCCGGAAGGACAATAGTGACGGCAGAGAAAAGTTACATCACTGCCGGAGGAACAATAGTGACGGCAGGGTTGATACAAACAGTCCTTAGATAATTGCCGGATCTTTACAAGTTAGAAAACAGTCACAGTTTAATTACCGACTGATAAGAATCAAAGAACTTGACCTTGTAGTAAATATTAGAATAAATTCTATGTTAACCCTATTACTTCATATACACGCCTTTTAAACGCCTTTTTCACCCCCCCCCCCCCCTTTTTGTTGTCTTCAAATGATTGAAAAAATGCCTTATTTAGGCCCCAAACACTTGGTTTTTGTTTGAGGAAATGTTGTTAAAAAAAAGTGACCCTTTTTTCGGCGCGGCCCCCCAACCAAAAGATACATCAGGGGGTTGCCAGAAGGGGGATGTGCCCCTTCTGTTGGGGGGGGTTTTGAAGGGGGGTGGCAGTCCCCCTCATCGCCAAGAAATTTTGGACTTGTGAGAGGCTGTAAATGACCCCAGATTGATCATAAGGTAACGTGTAACCAACGCTGAAAAGCATTTGACTCTATCTCAATCCATTGAGAAGTTGCAGCACTTTGAAATCAATTTTGATGAAAAAATCAATTCAACGCAAAAATAGTGATTTTGGCAATTTTGAAAGGGATGTCCCCTCGTTGCCATGGTAACAGAAAATTTAAGCCTGAGCATGTTGTTGCAAGGACAATGGTCCAGTCAACATTTGTGCCAAGTTTGATTAGTGTTGAAGCAGTTTTTATAGTATTATAGCAATTTGAACTTGTAACGGGAGACTTTTCAATGAAAACAGCCATTTTTCACAAAATGCTCATGAAGCAATGGGTTAAGATAGCTTACTTTAGAAATTGTAACAGTAACAAATGACTCGGTGCTTTTGATGTCTTATTACTATTGTAATATTTATGTATCTGTATATTTAAAAGAAATTTAACATGTGTTACTGTTCTGTTGTTCATTTATGTTTGTTATTATATTGATTTTAATAAGTGTAATAAAAAATGATATTTTTGTGTTAATTTTGAGCAATTTAATTTGTATTATAAAAGCAATAAATTTGTTAATAGACATAGAAAGTCTTGTTGTTTCCTAGTTATCTCTTCAGTGGTAATGATAGCCATTTTAGTTAGCTTGATTATAATTAAAGTTTGAAAAACTCCTCAGGCAAGTCTTCTAATCCAGTTACCTCTCTGGCGTGGGTTTGATCCCCGGGAGATGCTTTGGTAGTTTAGCTTGGAGAAAGGTAGCTACTGATTACATTTTTTTTTTTTTGAAAAGGAAAAACTAATTTAATTTTCTTTTTAAATGAGCCACGCCATGACTAAACCAACATAGTGCGTTTGCAACCAGCATGGATCCAGACCAGCCTGTGCATCCACGCAGTCTGATCAGGATCTATGCTGTTTGCTATCAGTCTCTACTTGCAATAGGGTATTAAGCAAACAGCATGGATCCTGATCAGAAGGCTGGTCTGGATCCAAGCTGGTCACAAACACACTATGTTGGTTTTGTCATGACGCGGCTCATTAATATTTGTTTAAACCGTTTATTTGTATGCTTTTAGAAAAAGTTAAAACAGTCGTCTAAAAAGCCTTTCCATTTATTAACATTTACATATGTTACCTACAAACGAAAAAAAAAATTAATTTTATTATCCGTCCTTGAATAAAGCCATTTTATTATGTCATTTTGTGCAAAGGGTTCAAGCACGTGAAGTAAGCATGGTATCTTTTTACATGTGTACTAAAGGATCACAATGAACGTTATCATGATAACATAATAGATGTTTAAATATTTAAAGTGTTAAGATTTATCTCAACATCATGTGATACTTTTACATAATTATAGTAATATGAACTTTTTACCTTTTAAATAATATATCATTATCTGCAGAGTTAAATGCATGGATCAGTGTTTTAATAAAGTACATGTAAACTCAGTGTGATAATAAAGTTGGTTAATAAATAAAAATGAAGAAATAAAATGAAATAGTGATAAAGGGATAAAATTACATAGGTTTTGTGCTAATTTTTAGTGGCTAAATCATGTAATAAAATCCTCTTTTGTAAAACATTAAGGAAGCAGTTGAATTAGAGTCATGGATTACGGATAATATTTATAGCGAAGGAAAATAAATCGGACACTGCTACATGAAATCCTTGCATTCCTTTAAGATATACTGATTCTGGTAATATTTTTAAATTTGTGAAATTGTACTTGTTTGGAGTATCCATAAGTGAATATCTGAATATTCAAAGACAATCGATCCTTAGATTTGTGAAATCATACTAATTTCGGAGTACCTGTGGGTAAATATCTGAAAAATTCGGAGATTATTTAGAAAGGTATGAGATTGGATGACATATTAGAGGAGATAGGGGGATTTGGACGGTATCAGAAATGGATTTTCTTTTTAACTTGTATCCCAAACTTCTTTGCTGGATTTTACATGCTGAACCCTGTGTTCCTCCTTGGTGTTCCTGACCACAGGTAAGATATGTTTTAATACCAAAAAATCAGTAAAATATTGAAAATATTCTCATCAATGAAATATACATTAAAGCTACTCTCCCTCACAAAACGGGTCTAAAACATCAAAATATTTGTTTAGAGTTATTTGATATACATAAAAATAAATTTGCAGTTGCCATGAGGTAAATGTGACCTAACCATTGTTATGTTTCACTTGGCAAAGCTCTTGTGTTTCACTTTGCACAGATATAAACACCCTATTATCACACCCGTTAACATGTGGCAAGTAGGACAGCTTTATGCAGGTAGAAAATACTTTATAAATGTTAGTTTTTAACAAGATATTTTCTTTTTTGTCTCTTTTTATAGACATAATTTTCTATGATATATTGTGTAGTAATCGATTGCATTATAAAGAATTACCCAAGACCATATTTTTAATGTTCTACCAGCAACCAACTGATCTACTTGCAAACCAGTTAACAGTTGTGTTTATAATTTAAGTCGATAACAAAATAAAACAGTGCAATGGTTTAAAATTACAGCAGGAACAACATTGCAAATACCTTACTAAAACCTTTCTCATTGGACACGACCTGTTTAAATCATCTAGTTTCATATAAATGTACTAGTTTGTGGTGAAATTTTGTCTTTTGATGACATTTTATTTCAAAAACGCCCAAACTGCACAATGTGTTGGATAGTAGCTTTAAAACATTACAATTAATACATTAAAAGTTTGTAAACAAATCTCTCAATGATTTCTTAATATTCTATTACATGCAATAATTTTACAGTTAACTAAAAACCTCTTATGTGTAAGCTTATTACTACATGTACATATTGATGTATTAATAAATGTTAAAAGGAGCAGCCCATTTCAATTCTAGATTTTTGGTTATTTTCAGGCCTGCAATCTTAAAGTTGATTATGGTTGTTGAGATTTATAAGAATATCACAAAAGTCAGGCCATGCTGCAAGAGATATAACTGTCCTAACTTGAAATAACAGCTTAACAGGAATGCCTTTTTCTGTTTTTAAAAAATATATTTTTACACAAAATCTTGCTGAATATTTTCTAAGATACATGGATTTTCAATGTTTTCTTATACAGATGTTCGATTCCTGGTTATGATAATGATACATATAAGCCTCAAAATGACGAACATAGAGCGTTGATAGAAAGATATATCCCGATGTCATCAGAGGAACCGTCCGAATATGACAGTTGTGAAGTGTACAAATATATCGCCGAAAATGTCAGTGCAAGTTTTAAACGGTATGCAATGTTTTTAATATTAGATATCAATGTTTGACTTGAAAAACAATTTCAGTTTGGTATGTCAAAATACATAAAATGGAAATGAAGTCCTAGATATTGTAGCATTATAACATATGACATTTCTGTAACAACTGTGTCTACCATAATACATATGGTATAATGCAAAACTTTTTTGATCAAGTTATTCTTTGTTAAGAAAGGTAGTTTCAAATATAAGTTTCAATTTTTTAGCTCGACTTTTCTATGAAAAGGGGAGCTATCCTACTCGCCCCGGCGTCGGCGTCGGCGTTGGCGTCACACCTTGGTTAAGTTTTTCGTACCACCCCACTTTATTTCAGAAGTATTACAAGTATGGCTTTGAAACTTACCATACTTGTTCACCATCATAACCTCCATCTACAGACAAGAGTACATAACTCTGTCAAGGTTTTTGACAGAATTATGGCCCTTTTTTGACTTAGAAAGTGTATTGAGCTTGGTTAAGTTTTTTGTACCACCTCACTTTATTTCAAAACCATTGGAGGTATTGCTTTGAAACTGACCATACTTGTTTACCATCACGACCTTCATCAACAGACAAGAGGACATAACTCTGTCAAGGTTTTTGACAGAATTATGCCCCTTTTTGACTTAGAAAATACATTGAATATGGGTAAAATCCACTTATTGCCTTAACCCTTTGAGATATTGCTTTGAAACTTTTAATGCTATTTCACATCATTACCCCCATCTGTACGCAAGAGAAAGGTAACTCTGTCAAGGATTTGTTTTAAAAATTAAGGCCTTTTATCGACTTAGAATCTTGGTTAAGTTTTTAGTACCAGTCCACTTTTTGACTGAACTGTTTGAGATATTAATTTGAAAGTTGGAATACTTGTTTACAATCATGATTCCCAAACATGTCCAGGAGAAGGTAATTCTGTCAAAGATTTTATTTGAATTATGGCCCTTAACTGTCAATGTTTTGTATTATAGGCAAGCACTAAAAAACTTAAAAAATCTAAAAAAATTCATTCCTATCCACTTGTTCACTTTACCATAAATTATGTCATAATAAAATAATTCTTCACTAAATATCTTAATGCTCATGGCCATTGTTCACTTTAAAAATACAGAGATTCTTGTATTGCCTTTTACTGCAAAAACTTTTTTTATTGGCAAGCAATAAAAAAGTCGAGCGCGCTGTCTTACGGACAGCTCTTGTTATTTATTATTTTGATAAGATATTATTTCTTGAAAAATGAAAATCAATCGATTAATGTTTCAAAAGAATAGATAAGCTATCTCACTCTCCATAGCCTTAAAGAAAGCCTAGTTACAACACAGTGAAATTTTTGCTTGAAACTTGATAATAGATCTACTTCTGACAACAATTTCATAATTTCACGAAATAATTGAAGATACATGTATTTTCTTAAGCTTCACACATGTTGTCAATATCATAAGTGAAGGGTATTGATTACAAAGACCCATAATTTAGTTTGAAAAATTTTGGAATAATACCCCTTTGTGAATTTAGGAAATTTCCACATGGCTTTTGCTTTTAACTATTAAACACTGAGAATAATTGTATGTAATGTCTGTAGGCTCTTGTTTATGCTTCTTCTATGTTTTTTCTGTTTGTTTAATTGTTCTTCTGGATTTAAAAGTCATTTTAAACATACATTCTTGGTCATAATTATCTGTTGTTCGTAATGTACAAATTCGTTTCTTTGTTCATTGGACGATATTTTATTTTTATATACATTTTGACAGTTTTCATTAAAATTAGCATGAATCTAAATTACATGTATTTTTATGTTTTTGATAGGGCTCGCTTTATACAGGACAATAGCACTGATGAAAGGACAACAGAAAAGTGTAACAGTTGGGTGTATGATAAAGAAGTATATGACAACACATTTGCTTCTCAGGTATACAATATTAACCCTTACCAAACTAAATATCTTAAATGGACAAGTCCATCTTTCAATTGAGACAAAACCATTCATCATTTTTAGGGAAATTTTCAAAATATGTACTTATTGAATACAGAACTGTGCAGACCATGATGAGACAGCGCAGATGTGCCAGCAGATCTTGGTCTGCAAAGGTTACACGGGGGTCACGGGTTGTTTCAGGCACCACTAGCAGGATAAGATACTATGCTCAAATTTGATATTCAAAAATATTGATAATTGTCACACAGTCCCTTTGTAAATATAAAATAAACATGTTTTGACTTCACACAAAGTAGATATGTTATGTTTTAAATTCAACACACTATTGGTGGTCACAATATGAATATATAGTGTGACTGTGTCATTAAAAAAAACTGGCAGTTTTTTTAAGAAAAGACCAACTTTAAATGGCCTGCTATTGGGAATGAAGCTTCCCATACATAGTTTATTCATTCTTTCATTCAAATTAGACATATTCAATACGAATTTCAAAGATTTCAATAAATTTCTGTGATTAAAATATTTTTCTTCAGGTTAAGCATAGTATATCCTACTGGTAAAAAGTATTTGTTTTGAGTGAATATGGATATCTTGAATAGAAGTGGGAATTGTTTAAAAGCACAAAGCTTGAGTGAAAATATATATTTTTTAAGTGAAATTTTTTAAATATTATCACAAAACAAAACTTTTATTTTATTTGCTATAGTTTTTCCAATAAAACTAGACATAGCACAGACTAAATTTTTAAGTAAATCTTGCAGATAATTTCTTAAAATAGAAAAAACAAATAAACTGTTCAGTGTGGCAAGCACTATAATATAATTATTTACAATTAATGAAAATTCAAAACGGACAAGTCAGAATTGTTTTCCTGATTTAATATTGAGGTTTTATTTTATACACTCAGGTAAATTTGGTATGCGATAAAGAAATATGGGTGGCTAATGCAGAGATGATATTTTATGGAGGAATGCTTGTTGGTTCATTTGCTAGTGGAATCATCGCAGATATGTAAACACTAAATTTTGATACTGAAAATTTATATGTGAAACTGATTTTTGCAACTATATAATGAGTGAAATACTTGCAACTGTATTTTTAGCTCGACTATTTGATAAGTAGAGCTATTGTGGTCACCCGAGCGTCGGTGTAACCACTTATGTTAAAGTTTTTGTAATACCTCAAATATTTTCAAAGTCCATTGACATATGGCTTTGAAACTTTGCACACCTGTTTACAATCATGCCCCCAATCTGTAGTCAGGAGGAGGTAACTATGTCAAGCATTTTGACAGAATTATGCCCCTTTTTCGACTTAGAATTTACGTTAAAGTTTTTGTAATACCTCAAATATTTTCAAAGTCCATTGTCATATAGTTTTGAAACTTTGCACACTTACCATCATGACCCCAACCTGTAGACAGGAGGAGGTAACTGTATCAAGCATTTTGACGGAATTATGCCCCTTTTTCGAGGGGCCTTAATAGAATTGTATTACAGTTTCCATTTTTTGTGAAACCAATGAGTGACATCTGCTTTTTACTTAAGTTGTGAACAAGAAATGTTGTTGGACGTTATTAGCATACCTAGCACATAATTTAATAGCTGAACCAATATGCAGCCTGCAATGAAAATACAAATGAGTCATATCATATTTTATTTTCAACTGCTTTGTATCATTTCGTAAAAATCATTATTTCTTAGAAAATAAACATCTCTTTTTACTGAAATTTTAATAAATGATGCAAAATTATATTTCGAAGTTAATTGTAAACTCTGAAATGAGTATATAATTGATTTGAAGGAAAAAAGATAGATAAAGCAATATGAACTGCGTCGTATCCACACATTTTCATAAAAATTCTGCTCTGATTCGAGTTGCAAGTTGGCTATAACTTTTGTTTTACAAAATAGTTGTGCAAGCAACATATACCGAATGAAGCGGAAAATAGTGTAGCCTCTTAATACATATATCTGGTTTTCAGTCATTTCCAACAAAAAGAGTTATAAACAAAAACATATGTTTTTCGTTCCAAGATGGCAGCGTTTGTTTACATTTTGTAGGATACGACGCAGTTTCGATTCCCAGCCCTGGTTAAAGTTTTTGTAACACCTGTAATATTTTCAAAGTCCATTGACATATGGCTTTGAAACTTTGCACACTTGTTCACCATCATGACCCCAACCTGTAGACTAGAGGAGGTAACTTTACGAAGCATTTTTACAGAAAAATGCCCCTTTTCTCTTTTACATTCAAGTTTGCATACCACCTCAGATATTTTCATATTCTTTTGACATATGGCTTTGAAACAAGTTGAAATTTTATACTCTTCTTTGAGAGCATAATAGGACTCTCTCAAAGGCCTCAAACTGCAGCATGGATTTGAAGAAAAATTTTGCCCTTTTGTTATATTAGAAAATTTTACGTTATTCAGGCTCTTTTACTATCAAGCACTAAGAGTAGTCAAGCGTTGCTGTCCTACCAACAGCATTGTGGTAAAAGAAATGATATGTTTTGTTCTTATACAAAAAAGTTATGACTTTACTGTGAACCATTTGGCATGGTGCACAGAAGATTGAAACTACTTTAATTATGCTTTTATTTAACAACAATTACAGTATTTAAGATGTAACATTTGTAGATAGAGCATTAAAAATATTACATATCTACTGTAAAATCACAATATTTCTGCAGAGCTAAAATTTTGCCATCTCAGCATTTTTGACTTATTATTAAGGATAAATATACTATAATTTTTGCTTTCACTTCTGCAAAATTTGTGATATTTAGATTTTGAGTGAACATTTATTTTCACAAAAATATTCTATTTGCCAAGTTAATGAAATTTGATACCTTGTGAAAATTTCTGATTCTGGAGTCTCTTTCTTGCTGAAACTATTTGTTGTGTTTGATATATATGACAATAATTATACTGTATTAAAGTATTGTAAATCAAATAAGTAATCTGTTCATTTGATATCTTTTTCTCAAGGAAATTGAAACTTAAAAGTGACATTGTTACCTTTCTTCATGAATTATTCTTATAGTTGCCTACATGTATCTACTTAACATAAATTACTGTCAAATCAGTTTGGTAAATCAGTACAAAATTAATTATGTATTTTTATCTGAGAGTTATAAACCTACTAAGAAAGTTTAACATACATAATGACAGAAGATCCTAAACATAAGATATTGTCAAACATCTCACCAAATAGTTTCTTTTTTTAGTGTCGGACGTAAGCCAGTGATGTATGTTGCCATTTTGGTAATGATTGCCTCCGCAAATGGGCTTGCCTGGGCACATGAATACTGGCTTTTTTGCATCATTGAATTTTTTCTTGGCGGCTCTATAGTGGCTTGCTTTATGCCAGCGTATATCATATGTAAGTATGATACAAACTTGCCGTTTTATAAAAAGAGGATAATAAATATGTAGGATGAAGTATTTCAAATTTGTTTATAGAAAATGATGTATTGATTTGAATAGTTAACATACATTGTATTTGAAAAAATCTTCATGTATAATTTTTCACTTAAAACATAATCTGTTATCAGTCAAAACAATATTAATGTACCAATGATATTTTTCTGTGAATTGCCTATCAATTCAGAGTTGAAAAAATAGGTCATTATACCCCCAAAGAAGACTAATGGTTGGAATTCAATATAACTACATACAATGGTCAAGCACATTGAGAGGAAGTGCAGTGCACAAGAACCATAACTCTATCTTGACTAATTACAGAGTTATTGCCCTTTGTTACTTTTCCTAGTCCAGGGCATAACTTGAAAACTACTGGTTGGAATTCAAAACAACTTCATACAATTGTCAAACACAATAAGGGGAAGTGCAGTGCACAAGAACCATAACTCTATCTAAAGTAATTACAGAGTTATTGCCCTTTGTTACTTTTCCATTGCTTTCTTTTGTCCGGACCATAACTTGAAGACTAATGGTTGGAATTCAATATAACTACATACAATGGTCAAGCACATTGAGAGGAAGTGCAGTGCACAAGAACCATAACTCTATCTTGACTAATTACAGAGTTACTGCCCTTTGTTACTTTTCCTTGTCCGGGGCATAACTTGAACACTACTGGTTGGAATTCAAAACAACTTCATACAATTGTCAAACACAATAAGGGGAAGTGCAGTGCACAAGAACCATAACTCTATCTAAAGTAATTACAGAGTTATTGCCCTTTGTTTCTTTTCCATTGCTTTCTTTTGTCCGGACCATAACTTGAAGACTAATGGTTGGAATTCAATATAACTACATACAATGGTCAAGCACATTGAGAGGAAGTGCAGTGCACAAGAACCATAACTATATCTTGACTAATTACAGAGTTATTGCCCTTTGTTACTTTTCCTTGTCCGGGGCATAACTTGAAAATTACTGGTTGGAATTTAAAACAACTTCATACAGTTGTCAAGGACATTAAAAGGAAGTGCAGTGCCTAAGAGCCATAACTCCATTTTGACAAAATACAGAGTTACTGCCCTTTGATACTTTTCCTTGTCTGGAGCATAACTTAAAACGTACTGGTTGAAATTCAAAACAACTTCATACAATGGTCAAGCACAAAAAGAGGAAATGCAGTGCACAAGAACTATAACTCCATCTTCAGTATTTATAGAGTTATTGCCCTTTGTTCCTATTCTTTGTCTTTCTGGACTTATTACAGAGTAATTCAATAAAACTTCATCAATGGCCAACCACATTGAAAGGAAATGCAATATACAAGAACCACAACTATCTTTAATTGCCCACAACCATAACTCTATATTTCAATTCTTTTACAAGGTATTCTGTTACTAGTAACATCCTCATTTCCGAAGTAGTCTTGTGGGGGTATTAATCACATTTAGTGATAGTTCTAGTTTTGAATTAGTAATAAAATGGTTAGAAAAAGCTCTATTTAAATGAAAACAAAGATGCCAATTATGTAGTCATATTTCAGCTTTAGAGATAACAAGCGTCAAAAAGAGGGTGTGGCCAGGCGTGATATCGGAACTTCCGTATGTACTTGGACTAGTGGTTCTGGCAGCAGTTGCGTATGGTTTGCGAGACTGGTTTCAAATTCAACTTTATACCTCATTACCAGCAGTGTTGTTTGTATTTTATTGGTGGTATGTTCTGCTATGAAATAGCTTTCAATGAATTTGACACAATATACATGATATAATAACTCATAAAATGAAATTTCTGAGATACCTTTTTATGCTTATCTTGTCTATGAAATAGCTTTTCAAGGAATTTGACACAATATACATGATATAATAACTCTTAGAATGAAATTTATGGGATATTACATGCACTAAGTGCTCAACTGGTTATAAACCACTAATATTTTATGTGTGCCAAATTTCATTTATGGTACATCATTTGTATGTAAGATTTTAAAAAATTGAATTAAGTGTTATATAAAGTTCTTGATATATCAAACATTGTTCTTCCGGCTGTTGTACAGGAAATACACATACATTGAACTTTAGTAATAGAGTGACTTGTTAAATTTTGATCGACTGTGTATTAGTATATACATATTCGCATTTATAGCTAATGCCAGTTTAGTCACATCAAAACTGGACTCAGTGCAGGTCACATTCGTTGTGGTTGATCATGTTATCCTTTCTACGGTCATTCACACTGTACCTCTGCTTTGGCATGTACAGAAGTAATCAGTTCCTTGTGAAAGTGAAGGCAACTTGTACTGGTAAACTACTTTGACAGCCTGCGCAGGAATGATGTGATTACTGAACTGTGCTCTGGTAAATTCAAGGCTTACTGTCGTGATCCGTAGTGAAAACTACCAATACCACCACCTAATGTCAGTTTGTAATTTTGCATAAATTAACACATATAGTTATAAATATCTTCAGGCTTATGCCAGAGTCTCCGAGGTGGTTGCTCAGCAAGGGTCGGGTCAAAGAAGCAGAACAAATTCTAAGAAATGCTGCTCGATGGAACAAAACCACACTGCCCAATGATATATTTGGAGAAATGATAGAGGATGATGTTGATAAGGAGTCCAGTTTCTGGAAGCTGTTTTCATCAAAGACACTCTGTATCAGATCAAATGTTATATTTCTAAACTGGTAATTATAAAAGTATTTTTAGAAATGATTGTTACTATGCACAAGTCAGTTGTATACCCCCGCCCATCATCTCACTCTCTTGTGCCTAATCAATATACAGTAAGTGTCAATATTACCATAGTATGAAAAAAAAATCATGTCCGCATAATTATGATACTGCAAAGTAGGTAGATGTATAGAAAGTGGAGAAGTTATCTCAATTGTTTAGAGAAACTTAATTATAACGATATTTATCAGATAACAGTTAACTATTTCCTTTGAGATGTCCTTTATAAACTTATATCAATTACTCAGATAATTTCACTAGCAAGCAATTTTTCTTTCACCTTTTTGGACATTTTGTTATTTAAACAAAACATTAGAATGTTACGCTTGATTGTTTTCCTTTTGCTATCCAATATCTAGTTGAGAACAGTCGTAATATTATAGATACAAATGTAATATTTTTATAATATTTATAGAAATAATATTTTTTGATGTTAAGTAGAAATAAAATGTTAAGGTGCCTAAATATTAAAAGTGGCACAATGAAGGCTATGTAATATGAAATAAAACTCAGTTTTGGCCACATTTAATCTTTAGGTTTATTTTTCATTCTTTAGGTTGGTAGTTGCTCTGGTATACTTCGGACTGGCTCTTAACTCGGAGAATCTGAACGGAAATTTGTATCTCAATTTTGGTTTATCTGGGTTAGTTGAGATTCCAGGCTATCTACTGGTAGTATATCTAGTTGATCGTGTCGGTCGCAGGAAATTGTATTGTTCTTTTATGATCATCGGAGGGGTGTCATGCCTGTCAACAATCTTTGCTATTGAGTATGAACCGGAAGGTAATTATACAATATTCATTAGTTAAAAGTAATCCTTGCCCAATCCCCTCTTTAAAGGGGGAAGGGTGGGGGGCAGGGCCTTAGTAGTACAGAAAAGCAGTGCATGGTTTTACTTTCAAACCGTTCCCACACTGCAAGGAGTAGTTATTGGTTTTACTTTTGCTCTAAAAATAGCTGCCTTATGTGCAGTATGGTGGAACTGGCAAGGATTTTACAATGTGAACATACTATATTGGCCGGGAATGTAACCAGATTGTTGCGGGTTCAAAATTCTTTTGAGCTTTAAGGGACCAGGATTACAATTGATTGATGTATTACTTTAAACAAAATCATTTTTATGCCCCCACAAAGTGGGAGCATACAGCGTTGCACTTGTCCGTCAGTCCGTCCGTCCCAAAATCTTGTGGACGCAACTCCTCTTAAACCGGATGACAGATTTTGCTTAAACTTTCAGGGATGAACAACCTTAACGTGTAGATGGTAGTAAAGAAAGGAATTTTGGCTGCGACCAAATTTAACAGAATTATGGCCCTTTGTTGATTTTCTCACTATATACTATGTACAAATTTTGTGAACGCAACTCCTCTTAAACCGGATGGCAGATTTTGCTTAAACTTCCAGGGATGAACAACCTTAATGTGTAGATGGTAGTTAAAGAAGGAATTTTCGCTGCGATCAAATTTTACAGAATTATGGCCCTTTGTTGATTTTTTCACTATATACTATGTACAAATTTTGTGAACGCAACTCCTCTTAAACCTGATGGCAGATTTTGCTTAAACTTCCAGGGGTGAACAACCTTAATGTGTAGATGGTATGAAAGGAAGGAATTTTTGCTGCGACCAAATTTAACAGAATTATGACCCTTTGTTGATTTTTAGTTTTCAACTTGTGGCACATGTAGTCCAAAAAAATTTGACCTAGAGTCATAAGATTGACCTAACAGTGGCATGTGGGGGCATCCGTGTCCTATGGACACATTTCTTGTTTCATTTTCATTGCATTGTCCCATGATGTTATTAGGAAACATGTTAATTAAAATATGAAGTGTCTGGCAAAAAAAATTAAGGATTAGCTGTAATATTTAGATATCTTATTCTTACTTGTATGGTTTTCCTTGAGCAAAATAATTTATAAATGCAATGTTCTATAACATTTCTCCTTCTATTCCTTAAAATGTTTTTCGAAGTGCAATAATAGTACACCATTGCAAGAAGTATTGGTTTTAAGAAGGTTTACATGCAATTAAATATAACAATGTCACATCCAGGTAGCATCTTTTTTTCCCCAACGCATTACAAATATTATATTAAATGCATGTAATCAGAGTAATAAAACAAGATACTTTAAGTGTTTAAGATACACCACAACACAAATTTAGGTGTATTTATCTGCATCCATATCATTTTTTAGTGTTTCAAATTTTGTATTGCTTAAGTGTTATTATGTCTAAGATATGTACTGATGTTAAATTCAAATTTAAAGAGTTATCATAAGTAAAAATTATTCCATCATTTAAAGTTTTGTTGACATATTACAGAAGGTATATTCATAATATGCAATTCTGGTGGATTTTTTCACTCTAGTCGATTGACTGAAGTTCTACACTCACATTCAAGCTTTGGGAAAACAATTTTTTGTGTACATGTAATTAACTTGAGTTAACTCACTTTCCCTTATATTTCTCTGATGTGTTATTTGTTACAGGGTCAGATGTTATCACAATAGCTTTGGCTATGTTTGGAAGACTATGTGTGACAGGAGCGTACTCTGTGGTCTATGTTCACAGTGCCGAGTTATTTCCTACTGTTGTACGTAATGCTGGATTAGGGATAGGGTCACTATTTGCAAGGCTTGGAACAATGGTTGCCCCATATATTGTTACTGTAGTAAGTTCGGTTGGATTAATTTTGTCATTACATCTTTTTATAAAAAAGTAAGCTATTGTAAGTGCTTTGCTATGGCTTTCTTTAACTAGGCCACGCATTGCCTTTTACCGAAATGCTTCTGTCACTGAGGTTAAAACTGGGAAAATAAGCTATATTTTACCTTTTGTCTGCTCCCACACTACTGGGTCCGTGCTTTTGTTTTCATGCCAGAACAGTAAGGGAAGTAGTCTTAACTTGCAAAGCAAGGACGTTAAACAGCAATTTTAAAATCTGAATGTCTCTGCAGGGAAAGTCTTTATTCCAAGGGGATTGGAGGGATTTTTGTTTAAATTTGACTGGTGTGTTTTTGAAGAATATGCCAGATTGCTAATTTTACACCTGCTTATTGTTTGTTTAATTTCTAGGGAGAAAAATAACCCTGAATAGTTATCCCAGAGCAAGGAAAGACTTGACTTTAAGTGTATATTCAAACATTTGTATAATATTTTTGAGTTTTAAAGGTGTTACTTTCAGTCTTTCAGTAAACACTAAACTCATGAAGAAACAGTTCGAAAATGTTATTAATTACTGAATTGTCTTTCAATCAAATGGCAATGAATAGTTTCCAACTGGTTTATAATCTTTATTTATTTAGAGTGAGTCACTGAGTGGAACAACACGAGAGATACTACCTTTGGTGGTGTTTGGTGGAATGTCTCTTCTATCTGGGCTTATATCGTTAACATTACCAGAAACTTTAAATAAAAATCTTCCTGAAACTATACGAGATGCAGAAAGATTTGGCAGGTAAGTTTCCATGGTAACATTTTAATGCAGGTTTTGGAGAGAAAAAATTATCTGAAGCACAGTCATTATAATACTTATATACCTATATTTTTAAAATTGTCCAGGTTCAATTCTATGAACTGTCCGTTATCATTTTGGGGATATTAATATAAGAATTTGAAGAAAGCTTTACAGTAAAGAGCCTGGTCAGATTGGGTGGATGTGCAGGCTTGCCTGGCTCTGTACTGGTGGAATAGTCGTATCATGTTCAGTTCCAGCTGGGTATGGATTAAGTTTCCACCCTGTATATTATTTGTTATATTCATGTAGGTTGTAGGGGCAATATACTAGAGAATATAGTATGAATGAGATATGAGATACATATGACCAAATGCTCAAAACCAATGGCAACATTATGCATATGCATTGGAGAAAAGGCAAAGGATGCCTAGTTGTTAGGGTGTCTGTTTTTAAACTTTCATCCAGCGATTGTTCATTTGTGTCCTACCAGGAATAAGACAACCTAAAGTGGTTTCAAGAAAACTTTTACCTTTCTTATGCAATCAAGATCAAATTAATGTTTAAAGTTCAGAAGCATGAGGTGCTGCATATAATTATTGTGATCTGTTATAAGTAATGTACTTCAAGTTATCAGCCCATTTGAAACCAAAGAAATCCCACAACTTCGGTATTTCAATTTTTGAAACTATATGTTGTTTAATCAACAACATTTCGAATACTAGAAACCCTATATTATGTAATAAAATGTTTGTTATTGAACAGATCTGGAGCTTTTTATTTTGGTCGGAGTCTGCGGCGACATCAGGAAGATTATGAGAAAAGTTCAAAGGACCAGACTGACACAGAGCATGAACTTTTACTTTCTACAGAGAAATCTTCATACTCCTGACAAGATAGTCAATTATAGCATGAATTGTTATACACTTGTACAAATTTAAGGTATAAGCACCCTAATGTATTACCTCCGCTTTGAAGAGTCTTCAAATAGGCTAGAACTACTGTTAACTACATTGAAAATGAGGGCCATGGGTTCAATCCCCAGAAGAGTCAACTTTTTTTTTCTTTCTTTTTTTCTTTTAACATTATTAATGTATCTCTCATGTCCCATTTGGAAAGAAAAAAGTGTTTAATTTTGATTTTTATGCCCCCACAGAGTGGAAGCATATAGCGTTGCACTTGTCCGTCCGAGTGTCCGGACGTCCGTCGGCCTGTACGTTTCGAAATCTTGTGAACGCAACTCCTCTTAAACCGGATGGCAGATTTTGCTTAAACTTTCAGGGATGAACAACCTTAATGTGTAGATGGTAGTAAAGGAATGAATTTTTGCTGCGACCAAATTTAACAGAATTATGGCCCTTTGTTATTTTTCACTATATTCTATGTAGAAATTTTGTGAACGCAACTCCTCTTAAACCGGATGGCAGATTTTGCTTAAACTTCCAGGGTTGGGATGAATAACCTTAATGTGTAGATGGTAGTAAAGGTAGGAATTTTTGCTGCGACCAAATTTTACAGAATTATGGCCCTTTATTGATTTTTTCACTATATACTATGTAGACATTTTGTGAACGCAACTCCTCTTAAACCGGATGGCAGATTTTGCTTAAACTTCCAGGGATGAACAACCTTAATGTGTTAATGGTAGTAAGGGAAGGAATTTTTGCTGTGACCAAATTTAACAGAATTATGGCCCTTTGTTGATTTTTTCATTATATACTATGTAGAAATTTTGTGAACACAACTCCTCTTAAACCGGATGGCAGATTTTGCTTAAACTTTCAGGGATGAACAACCTTAATGTGTAGATGGTAGTAAAGGAAGGAATTTTTGCTGCGGCCAAATTTAACAGAATTATGGTCCTTTGTTGATTTTTAGTTTTCAACTTGTGGCACATGTAGTCCAAAAAATATTTGACCTAGAGTCATAAGATTGACAGAACAGTGGCGTGTGGGGGCATCTGTGTCCTATGGACACATTTCTAGTTTAATTTATATAGGTATTTATTGGTTAAATTATGCTAAATCTAGTAATAAATATGGTACCTGATATTTTCAAAGTGTAATATAATCAAAACTAGACGGTAAAAGTATTTCATATTTTACAAGATCAACCAATATACTTTTTTAAAAATTTAGGGAAACTTTGAAAACAGGCACTCATTTGGGTAAATTTTAAGAATTTTTTAAATTAGGCTCCCTAAGTAGAAAAATGGTCAGACACGTGGTAAAAATGGGTGGGGTAGGGTAACATTTTTATACAGATTTCATAAATTTTTAGTAGAAACCATAATTTTGCTTATGTGGATTGTTAGCTGAATGGTACTATTTGTTTCTTACCAAAAATTAATGGGAAAACATTTTTCATTAGAATGTTATTGCAGATTATTTAAAGGTTCCTCATTTCTAAAAAAAGAGCCCTCATAACATCCTAGCTTGAGTTCAGAAAATTGGCCATAACTTGATTTCCGTACGGTAAACTTTGTTTAAATTTTGCATACAGGTGTACTTTAAGGTATACATCTGGCCTATGATGTCAATTTTTTAGTTCCTGATAGTACCCATTAGGGTCCTAATACCTTAAATGTTTTACTATCATCATATCATCACCTTAGTGCAATAACTGGTTAACTCCTTTTAAATTTAGAAGGACATAACCCATTACTGCACTAAGGTGACATTATATCAAAATAGACTTAGTTTAATAATTTGAGAATAATGCAATAGTTTGGTATAATTTTGCAAGTAGTCTGAGTGTTATCTTAAATGTGTAATCATTGATAGTTTTGCATTTGACTAACGCAAGTATATGTCTAAATTAAAGATCCATATTGATATAACACTGATTTTGAATTTACATCATAAATAGTCTTTTTATTTAAAATTGCACCAACTTGGTACAGATCATATGGCGACTTTCCAGCCTTACTGTTGAACAAAGATCTCAGATGTCCTCTTTGCGCATTATTTCAGGCACAAGAGAGTCTCTGAATAGGACCAAACTTCCAAAGGCTAGCTTCCTTACAAAAATTGTTCTATCTCCAAAATAGCATGCCTTCAGATTCATGCAAATTTGGAACTTGGAAATAATATAAAAAATATTTGCTGTGATGAACAAAGAAACTAATTAATCTTCATAAATTTACTACATAAAAGAAAAATAATTACATTTCTTACTCTGCTAGTAATGTGATAGAAATATAATGACACCTGTTAAATATTGTAATTCTAGAAATATAGATATGAGCCGCGTCACGACGTAACCAACATAGTGGGTTTGCAACCATGGATCCAGACCAGCCTGTGCATCTGTTTCTCTACTTGTAAAAGAGTTGGTAAGCAAACAGCATGGATCCTGATCAGACTGCGCGGATGTGCAGGCTGGTCTGGATCCATGCTGGTCGCAAACCCACTGTTGGATTTGTCGTGACGCGGCTCATATATACATTACATTACAATGATAACATGGATTGCAAATGCCATTTTAAATACTGATCAGTGTATTTTTGTTTGTTTGAATTTTTTATACATTTTATTTTCTTCTTGAGATGTGTACCTTTGAAAACTATAAAGAGTGAGCTTGTGATATGACTGCTTTTATTGTTGTTGTAATTCTTGTTGTTTAATCTAGTTCATTTGATATTTTTCATGTTTGTGTTCTTTATTCCCTTGTTTAAATTGCTATCCAAAAGCATAAATTTTGCCATTTGGGCAAAGTTAAAATAATTATGTATGGACAGCAGTATCTGGTGCAGTGTTAAAAAGAAATTTTCACATTCATGACCACTGTGATATACTTTTTTAAAGATGAGATTATAAATTATGTTTTTTCATAAAATAAAAGTTCATGAATATTTTAAATGCTGGGTCATTTCTTTTTGTCTTCCCGGGATTGATGTTTTGCACAGAAATGTCAGAATGTCTTGTTCTTGTCCTGATGTAATAATTATAGCATGTCGAAGTTGACTCATTTCAAGCACAGCAACCATAGCCCTAAAGATCAATTAATAATTATATTAACAATAACTATGACTTCTATGATAAATCCTAAATGTTCTTTTAAGAATGAATCCAATTATGATGAATCCAATTATGATATTGACCACTAAATTGATCCTGATTAACAATAATGTAATATTTTGCGCACTTGTAGTTGTAGGTCTTTTCCTAAACTTTGATCGATTTCATGTTAAGTGACTTTTTGGGGAGGCATAGCCTCCCCAATGTTAATACCATTTGTCAAATCTTACTGCCGCGGTAATCAGGTCAAAAAATAGTACCTTGATTTTTTTAAGCTGACTCATCAGTCATCACAGACATTTACAATATGAAAATATTTTCATTCTTTAACTACATATTTGCAATTTGTAAAGATAATAATTCTCTGAAAAGTTCTTGATTTTTGTTTGTTTAATTTTTCAAAATCACTACTCCGTGACGTCATACTGCCGCGGTAATCAGGTTTAGTCATACGTTGGTCATAAATAGTTCTGGTATAAAACCCTTCTACATAATAACTTTATCAATAATTTTTTTTTTTAAAAAGCATAAATGAAAATTTATAGGTAAATGCTTTAATTAGGTGGCAAATATTCTTTATTATTTTTGATAACAGTTTTCCAATTACTACGCAGTGACCAACTGTTTATGACGGGTCATTAACTAGAACGTTGAACACCGTAGTCTCAATATCATGCATGTTCTTTTGTTGTTATAAACCATTAATAGTTCTTAATATTTTTAAATACAAATAATGGTAAACTGTGCTTACATCAGAGACATGGATCATGCTTGCGTGATAACTAAGGAAAACTAACTTATTAGTACACCTTAAGAGGCTGTACGCGGAAAACGCTCATAAACCGCGATATCATATAGCTGTTAGTAAATATTTTGCATACATTTAACTATAAATTCACTGATGGTGATGAACATATAGTTTGAAAACATTATATTCTTAAACCATGTATCGCCGAAAAAAAAATAATTTAATTACAAAATCCGTAAAGACCCTTCGACAAAATTTCACCACAAGATTACATTTTATATTAGCAAAATAAAAAAAAGCAATACATGTATTTATATTTTCATATTACATAATTCATTAATCAAACTTTTAACATAAAAGTATCTTTTAAAAATATGTCTGGCAATTGACAGATCCCTACTCTGATCTTTTATTTGTATAGGAATAAATTTAAACATATGCTATTTTGTTTAGGAATATTTTGTAGTGAAAGTCTTAAAATATCCACAAATCTCATAATTAGAATTAGACAGGTCAGGGATTTATACAACCAGTTGTTTAGTTAACTACGCTCATCTTAATCCCAATAGAAACATTCAAATATTTGGGGTAAAAAACATGACCAAAGTACCTAGTAGTCGTTTACCCGGTGGTGATCCCATTAAACTGATTATAGATTCGAATAGAAAACACAAATAGAAACATGTGTTTCAGTACAACAAAAATCGGAAGTAAAGTGAAGAGTTAAATGACAGAAATATGTGGTCAAATATGTTTTAACAAGGAAATAAGTATTTTAGAGAAAGACGCAAAGATCAGTCTTCAATCAAATAAATGACCCCGTATTGTGTAATTAGAAAGTTTATTCAATTCTAGGGCAACGAATCATAATTTGATAGTCCATGTGTAATAAAATTTTCAATACAGATTATGAGATACATGAAAATATTAAAGAATAAAAAGTTTTAAAAAAATAATAAAAAGAACTTATATGTTTGTGTTCTAAAAATAATTGGCGGCACAAGACGAATTTCGTATTCATTTTACAACACTTGAAAAATTACTACAGAAAATGTGTTGTTGTTTTTTTGTTTTGTTTTCAACAAAAGTGTGTGTGTGTTTTAAGTTCATTTATACTCGGCGCCGGAATAACCATATGTCCGAGATTATAGCATCGGGGACGTCTTTTTCAAGCAGAATCGTCCTGGTAGCCCATTCTTCGTTCGTTAGTGGTAAAGGAGACGACAGTACTGTCAAGGCATCAACTTCCTGACTGACGACAACAAAAACGGCATTCATTAGCGCCTAAGTCTCGACAGGTCAACCAATCACCTCTGGTACTTGAGATGACTTGACCTTGACCTGCCGTGTGCCTTCTCCGCGACGTGCATGCCTCTGGAGGGATTTGGAGAAGTTTCAACAAAAACTTCCAAAACACGCTATTTATAACACCATTCATAGCACTGACGCTTCGATGTTCTCATCTATTTGCGGGAAATGGTCGGCAAGGAAAAACCTACATAATAACCGCACACTCTGTTAACAACAGATTTTCCGCAGTATATATTTCAAGCTAGTGAGGTTTAAAAATACATGTAGAATCCATAAGTTGGT